GAGATACGCGTGTTATTTAAATTGTGCTCTATACCTTGGGATGTCAGAAATACTACATATTTAGCTTTTAAAATAAATAAAATTCTTCATATTTGCACATCAATTCAGAAATGTCTTCAGATTATGCAATAATTATTTACCTGCATCTAAGATGAAGTAAAAAGACATAAACATAAACAGCATCTCAGAACACCTAAGAGATTTTTTTATGTCCTGAGGACTATTGAGCATAGAGGTGAACTTGGGCTCTGAACTGAAGATTAAAAAATCAAGGGGGCCAAAAGCACAATGTCCATGATCTAGGTACCCCGGAATGTAAGACACACGGGAGAGTCTCACAATTACCGGTTCCTCCAGAGGGCGACATGCTCAGCACACAGCACAGCGGAGGAGTTCCTGTAGACGGTTTGGGACAGGGTTAGGGGTTCAGCTCTGAGCCTGGGCTTGGGGTTGGGGTTAAGATTCTGGCTGGGTTTGGCTTTGGGTTAAAGTTAGGGTCAATTATACCTCAATAAAGCTGAAAACTTTTAAAGAGAATTCGATTTCTTTTGTCTTTAGAATAACTAGAGGAGATTCTGTTATCTGCCACAGAAACCTGATGGAGTAGACATTCTTTTTCCTATTCTTACCTCTAAGTATAACTAAAACCCCTGAAATTATATACAAAACAAAATAAGAAGACAGTGCGATATGGAGAAACTTGATACACAAGGAATGACTTGGTTGTGAATTTCTTTTTGTTTGTTTTGTCTTGTTTTTGTTTCATTTCATATATCCTAGATTTGAACCTGGAAAAGACAATATTGGTTATTGACAAATGAGACGAGCACACACAACAAAATCATACAAAGAAACAGGGGAAGGTTCTTGACGTTAGTCTTGACAATGATACTTTGGAATTGACACCTCAACGATAATAGCACAAGCAGCAACAGCAAAACACAGCAAGACTACACCAAACCAAAACACCTCTGCACAGCAAAAGGAACAGCCAGCAGAATGAAAACACAGCCTACAGAATGGGGGAAATTATCTGCAAATCACACGTCTGTTAAGGCGGTGATATCCAAGATATATAAGGAACTCTACTACCTTTTTTTGTTGTTGTTGTTATGATGTGTATATTTTATTTTAAAAGAGTTGCAGACAAAAAGAAACACACTGGCTTGGCCAACATTCAGGGTCCTATAGTTCTTTTAAGGTACAGTGTTATAATGCTTTATAAAATGTGATCCTACAGTATCTCATGCCTGGTAACACTGATATTTATCACTTAACAATCCCCTTACTCTCTTGATGTTATGATTTGAGGAGACAGAATATAAAATAATGGGTAATTTTAAAATAATGACTGCATTAATTATAATAAAGATAAGTGCCTTGAAGCCCTCAACATAGTTACAATTATAGGTATAATTAGCCTACACTAGTCACTTAAAATCAATCTCACAGTACTAAGATGACCTTGTGCCTGACTTGCCTAGGACAGTCCTCATTGTGTCCACGTCCTAGTGTAATTGTTACCAGTGCCTACTTTCACTCCTTAAAAACTCTTGGCAAACTATGGTTTGTCTATGTGTAATTAACTACAGAATAATTATATTTTTTAAATTTTATGAATTTAGTGTTCAGTCTGGGATAGGAAATACCAACTGTCACCAAAATCTGGAAACTATGATCATCACAGTATATAATATTTAATTAACAAGTAATTTTCTTCCACTGAGAGCCAAAGTAAATTTTGTAAGTGAATTAACTCCACTACATATGAGACTATAAAAAAGATATAAATTTAGGTTCACCAGAACCCAGAAAATGGAAGGAGAGTGATGAAAACATACACAAAGTAGGCTTCTCAAATTTGGGAAAAGAAATAAACATACAGATTCAAGAAGCTGAGTGAATCGTCCAGTGAGGATTATCGCCCAGCCTTCAGAGCTACTTGGATTTGCATAGCTGGATTTTGGACAAGCCTGGGACCCACCAGGCTTTTTTCCTCTCAAGCCCCCCTTTTATTCCTTCCAAGTCCCCCTTTGCAATGGGAGAGTCCATCGTACGCCTGTTCCATCACTGTGTTTCAGAAGCGCACAACTCGTCTGGCTCCACAGGTCAGCGAAAGAGGAATTTTGCCTCTGGATGTATCCCACCTTGAGTCGCACATATATTTAGTTTTAATGAGACTTAGATGTGACTTGGCACTTCAGACTTGATGCTGGAGTGAGTTAAGACTCTGGGGACTGTTGGGATGGAATGAATGCATTTTGTATATGAGGACATTAATTTGGCGGCCACGGGGCAGAGTGCTATGGACTAAGCTGCATTCCTCCAGAGTCCCTACGTTGAGGCCTGTCTTTGTCTGTCTGAGCTGCTGCAGCAGAGTATCATAGATGGGGCGGCTTACAGACAACAGAAATTCACTTCTCACAGCTCTGGGAGCTGGGAAGCCCAAGATCAAAGCACTAGCAGACTCATCTGGTGAGGGCGCACTTCCCTGTTCAGTCTCCCTGCTGTGCTCCCACCTGGAGGAAGGGGACCAGGCTGTTCTCTGGGCCTCTTTTATGGGCACAAACCCCATGCCTGGGGCTCCATCCTCATAATCTAACCACATCCCTTTGTTGGTTAGATTTCAACATGTGAATCTTGGGGCAACAGACATTCACTATAATGCAAAGCCCTAACCTTCAACGAGACCGTATTTGGAGATGGGCCTTCGAAGAAGTAACTATGGTTCAATGACGTCACAAAGGAGGAGCCCCGATCCAGTGGGTGGGTGTCCTTACAAGGAGACGCCAGAGAGCTCACTCTCCTCACCACGAGAGGGCACATCGAGAAGGCATCGTCCGCAAGCCAAGAAGACAGTCCTCACAGGGAACCAGGTTGGCTGGCACCTCGGGGACTTCCCAGCCTCCAGAACTCAATTCCTGAGAAATAAATTCCTGTTGTTTAACCCGCACAGTCTAAGGCATTTTGTGTTGGCCACTCAAGTTGACCAAAATGCTCTAAATCCTCCATCTCAGTAGCTGATAGAATAAGCAGACAAAAGTGTCAGTCAAGATCCAACTATCTGAACACGACAATCAACAGCTTTATCTAAACCACATACATAGAGCTTTATATTCAGCAACAGTCCAACACACGTTCTTTTCAAGTACATGTGAACATGACCAGTATCATTGAGTCATAAAACAAGAGCCAACACATTTCAAAGCACTGGAACCACTCAAGAGTTTGTTCTCCAACCACACTGAAGTTAAGCCAGAGAGCACTAAGAAAAGGCAACTAGAAAGTGCCACCTTTTAAAATTAAGCCGCGCACCTCTAAATAATCTGAGGTACAACGGAAGAAATCATAACAGAAGTTAGGAATATTTGGAACTGCACGACACTGAAAGTGTACCACAATATGTTGTTGTGGCTAAAACAGTTCTAGGGGAAAATTCAGTTTTTGATGCATGAATTAGAAAAGGAAAAAGACTGAAAATCAATAATCTAAGCTTTTACCTCATGGGAAAATAAACCTTAATCCTCCTCCACATCAATGGCAAAAATCAATTCCAGGTAGAGGGCTGATCTAAGTGGAAAGGATGGACTAACATAGCTGTAGAAGAGAGTGTCGGAGAATATCTTAGTGGTTTGGAACAGGCAAAGGTTTCTTAAGCAGGACACAGCAAGTGTTAACCTTAAAGAAAAGTAATGTCAAATTAGACAAAATTTAAGTTTTAAGTTTGATAAAACTTCTGTTTATCAAAAACACTTTAAAGTAAGCAAAAAACAACCCTCAGTAGTAAAATGGGCAGAAGCCCTCAGAAGCACTCCAACAACAGGGCACCCTAATGAGCAGCGAGTACATGAAGCCACGCTGCCTCAGGAAAACGCACCCTCGGTCGTCAGCGTGCGCACCCACCAGAGAACATGGCCCGCAGTGCGTGTTGACGAGGGCGGGCGCTTTGCAGCTTTCCCGGGGGGGCTGTAGTGACGCAGGTCCTCTGACTCTGCACAACCGTCTGTCATTTCTAGGGAAGCTGAACTCCTAAGTGTGTACCGAAAACAAATGTGTGAACACATGTGCATCACACAAATGTGTGCGCACACATGCACCAACACACAGAAATGTGTACACATATGTGCACCAAACACAAAGAAATGTTCCCCTTCACCCGAGTCATAACAGCTGGACACCGAAAACAACCAACACTGGAATAAGACACGTACATTGTGTGCATGCAGACGGTGAAGCACACGGCTCATGGATGAATCTCACGAACACATGACCCACAGAAGGCAGACACCGAGGGGCCGGCAGCCCCCCAGAACACTGCATGGGGGGCTCAGAGGGTGGACGTGGGTGCTCAGAGTCATGGAGGCTGGAGGTCCCTACTACATCAGGGCCTGGCCCAGCGTCTGGTGGGAATCGTGCTCTGGTTCACGGACGCTCTTGCTGGGCCCTCACGTGTAGGTCAGGCAAGAGCTCTGCAGGGCCCTTTATAATAAAGGCACTAACCCCTTCACGGGGCACCACCTCATGACCTCACCACCTCCTAACACTACACTGGGGGTTAGTTTTCAGCACATGAGTTTGGGGAGGACATGAACATCCAGTCTACTGAAAATTCACTACGTATACAATTCCACTCATACAGTGTTGGAAACCAGGCTAAAGCCACTTCCAGTCTTAGAAGCCAGGCTCCACCTTGGGGGTGGTTCTGAGAGCAAGGGCCACTTGGGACCCCGAGTGTGTGCAAGGGTTTTGGCCTGAGCGCTGGCTACGTATTTGTCTACTTTGTGGAATGTCATTCATCTGTACGCTCACAACTCGTGCGGTCTGGGGTATAGATTTTATATTCCAGTAAACAGCTGAAAGTCAAATTGACACACACCCAAAAACCTAGACATGGACCCACTGGCGTGAAAGTTTCTTTGTAATATTAGATGAGAAAGGTTACAGAGCAATGCACACAGTTTGACCCACCCAGTAAAAAATACTGTACGTGCACAGAAACATTCATTTATTAAAAAAATTTATTGAGCATGTACTATGTGCCAACACGTAATTTGTCTGGAAGATGTCGCTACAGCCGGACCACCCCATGCAGAGCCGCATCGCATGCATTGCACCTCCAGCCCCGCACGCCCCCACAGCTGGGCGGCTGGGCCAGGGGCAGGAAGAGCACATGGACACACGGCGCACAAACAGCCACCTTCACAGGAGGACAGGGTTGACGTCTGTGTCCTATGAGCTCAGAACTAGACCTAGCTCAGGGACACTGTGCCACCAGCTACCCACAGGTGGACACTAGGCACACAGCCCACTTCTAGGGACGGACAGGGCGGTGACACGGCAAGCCCGTGGAGCCCGGGGCAAGGCTGTTGTCACTCCATCAGAGAGAAAGTGGCGGCTCACAGGACACGTTCCCATCCGGGTTCGTCTTCGCTGGTCACGTCCGAGCCTCCAGGACCACACACTGCCTTCCAGACAGAGCTTGTTTGCCCTGTCACCTCCAGATTGGAAAGACTTTCTCCCCAACCTGAAAAAGACAAAGAAAACAAACCAATCAGGTAATAAATCATTTCAGTTTGACTAACATGCAGTATTTCCTAATAATCATTTAGTATTTTCGAGAGTCTGGCCCTCAGGTACAGACTTTAACAACAAACATTTAAACTTTTCACATAAAATGAGCATAAAACAAAGCACAAAACAGGTGTTACAAAATAAAGGGAAACTATTTGATTATTTTCTTCTCTCTCCTACATTAACCTGGAGTCTAAAGAAGAGGAATTTCAGTGGCCCACCTGGCCACACATTCACTCCAGCCCTCACACCACTGCCCATGGCCAAGGCACTGCGGTGTGTGCAAGGCCCTCAGCAACTCTGCAGCCGGGGGTCTCCTGGGCTGGGACGGGCTCTGTTCTCACTGACTGGCCGTCTCACAACATATGACTCACCTTCCTGCTCCTCCGCTTCCTGTTCTGTAATAAGAGCACCCACTGCCCATCACGACGATGAGAAAAGTGACACAGACAAGGTCTGGCCGTGGGGTCTGTGTGGTGGGGATGGGCATCCCCCACTGTGATCACCCCCAGACCCACCATCTCCCGAGACCAGCACCACAGCACACGACTCTCGGCTAAATGCCTTACTTTCGGCGACGCAGGGTCTTGTCTGGAAGTGACAGACCAGCTCAGGGTGACAGACATGTGCCGCCTCCACACTGGGTTTCTCTGTAGCACAACTGCACCGGTGACCACATCTCCCTCGTGGACTGAGACGGGCTCGTCCATCATGAACAGCACCTGCTTCCAGTGGGTGGTGCTGCAAGACAGGGACGCGGTGTCACCCAAGACGCCCTCCCACCGTCAGGCGCCTGGCTGCAGGCTCCCACTGGGACAGACACACTCCCGCCTGGTGGGGCGAGGATGCAGCCCTGGGTGCTGCTCAGGTTCCCTGAGGCGTGGGGGTCCCGCCTGGCACCTGTTCCCCAGCCCCAGCCCCAGCCTCCACGTGCTGGCACAGCAGTGTCCACCCAAAGCCACCGATGAAATCGTGTTCCCAAAAAGCTGTTATTTCTGTGAAAGGTCAAATGTGAGCAAGACACAGGCAGCATTTGGGGGAAAGCGGCTCCCCCGGGGGCCTGAGGCTGTTGGCTCAAGGGGATACCAAGCAGTGAGGCTCCGGCTAACCTCTCCCCCATCATGACCTGTCCCCCCTGAGCCCTGGGCCACCCCTGGGCCACCGTGGGGGGGTCTCTTTCCCTGGCCCACACCCCACCTTGTCCCGTATCACCTGTGTGGAGGACCCCACAGCAGACGCTCAGGATCCCAGCATCCCGGGTGGTTCCCAAGGCTCCTACCCTCAACCTCCACCCCGCGACAGCTCGCACCTGCGCGGCCCTGGAAGGTGGCCTGGCGGGAGTCCCTGCCCCGCCGCCTCCACCGGCCGCTCCGGGCAAACGGCTCCTCTCTTGAGGTCCTCCGGGACCCAAGGGCCACGGAGCGCCTGACCCGGGCCTGGGTGATGCTCCCCGGGGCGGAAGGGCCGCGCAAACCCCCAGCGAAGGCGGCGTCTCCTGGGGGGCCGCCACGTCCCGCACCAGAAGGGATGCCGTGCGCTCCCCAGCGCGCAGGAGCCAGCCTGCAGCCAGGGCAGCACTGCGCCAAACACGTGCTCAGGAAGACATCGGCTGACCCAGAGTCCAGTCCGAGTGAAACTCCCGGGGCCTCCGACCACAAGAAGCTGCAGCAGCGTCGGGGCAGCCGAGGGTGGGGGGAGCCTGAGGCGAGCGGGGAGGGGTCGGCGGTCCCGGAAGGGCTGCGCGGCGCGAGGCGCACTCACGGGTGCAGCGGGCCCGTGCTCAGCACCAGCTGTGGCTCGTCCTCCTCCAGGTTCTGAAACCGGACGCTGAACCAGGCTGTGAACCCGTGCAGGGTGCCTGCCTTCCTGATGTCAAAGCACAGCTCGCCTCTCATCGTCTGTGTGCAAGCAAAGCAGTGAGAAACGGGCCCGCCTGGACCCCGCACCGCGCGGAATTACACACGCACCACAGCCCGCTAGTGCAGTTGCGCACATCGCTCGGCAAAACCTGCATCCTGAATTCAAAGGCCGCATAAAATCAGAAAAGGTTTCGAGCAGTCTGGGCCTCATTGGCCTGACTTTCTGTTCCCGAATTCGAGCGGAAAACTTTTCAGTTCTTCGCACACATAGAAAGCTCCGGATCCCAAACTAACTACAGCCTCCAAAGTCCAGTCTGCACGTGGCTCAGCCCGTCCAAGTTCCGCAACCGGGTCTCCTCCGCCTTGAGCAGCCCTTAAAACGGGTCGTTCTGAACCCACATGCGCCACCTCGTGGTCACAGAGGGTAAGTAAAAGAAACAGTCAGGAATTCTGTCATCACTGGGAGCTAAAAAACTTAGAAAAAAATTTAATTCAACTTCTATGGTGAAACTTATATGATTTATTTGAATCGGAGGATGCTGAGGATATTAAACATAAATCTAAAAAGTAACTGAAGATGTTAAAGAGGTTAACTATAAAGAAAACAACCTAAAAATACAGACAGCGAAATCAGAATAGAACGTAAGAAAGACTGAGGGCATATCAACAGCAGAAAGTTTAAGCCGTTTATTTGAACAATGGTTACTTGGTGTAGAAGGAAGCGTCACCTCTCCTCACCTCCAGATCGGTGATCTGCACCGTTCTCATGTCCAGCTGTAAGATGGTGCAGGGCTCAGAGAGACAGTCTTCTGGTTTCAAGATGTGGTTATATTTGGGCTTCGAAAAAAACTCCTTAATTGCTAAAGATCTGGGGAAAAGTCAAAGTGAGCGCTCAGGCTCCGACCACACGTGTCACAGTCTTCTGCATCAGTTCCTGTATCCCGCTGAGCGGTGCTGCCTTGCGGAGTGCAGCCCTGCAGGTGGCCAGGGCCCTTGGTGCCCTCCCTGCAGGACAGCCTGCTGAGCCTCTGTCTGGACAGCAGCTGGGTGTGGGAGCAACAGGCACTTCCCTCTGCCCTACTGGTGGGGTCTCACATACCCAGAGGACATGGAATCCATGTGGAATTAAGTTTTAACGTAAGGTGTAGGGAACAGACGCCTTCTCCAAGGGTTAGGGTTAGGATTGGCTGTCCCCAGGTAATGTGTGGCCTCAGCCCTCCTCCCTCCAGCTCATGATGTGCCCTCTCCCAACACACTCCAATCAGAGCTTCCTAGCCTGCTGCTCTGCTCACCTGTCTTTCCCGTTGCCTTCATTATCACAATGTGCACACGAGGCAGCATGAGACTCTCCTCCTTGCTCTTTTCAAAACCCTCCCAGCCAGGGGTTGGGGGGGAGGGTACTGTAGCTCAGTGGTAGAGCATGTGCCCAGCATGCACGAGGTCCTGGGTTCAATCCCTAGTCCTCCATTAAAATAAATAAACCTAATCATCACCCCCCCCCAAAACCTGGAAAACAACAATAACAACCCCCTTAGCCCTTCCTGTGCATCTGTCCTGCACAAACCAGGAACAGCTCTGTCAGAGACCTTCCCCTCCACCCGCTCTGGGATTTGTGCTGACAGTGCAATGATCCAACACATTAACTGGGGAAGATTCTATACCTTTATGTTCATTTTTTTCTTTTTCTTTTTTTGAGTTTTCTGTGTGTGTGTGG